GTTGGCGCAGCTCGTCTTGGGAGGGGCATTTTACACTTTCGCTAGTTCCCTTTACTAGTGCTTCTTAAATTACACGTCTCACCTTGATGGGAACTAGAGACTCTTGCTAAGTGTAACTTGGTGCTTTTATAGGCTTTACAAGAGTTTACAGGAACCACAGCCATACAGGAGCCAACATGTGTGAGACAGCTTTCAGACTTCATGATGGCGCGCTATAACACGCAACGATGCGCGCAGTAACGCGCGTCGACGTGCTACAATTACAATAGCGCTCCAAAGCTATCGATGCGAACGTAGCCGCAGACGACCGGTGCCTATTGAACCCCGTCTGCAAACGCCTGATCGCTGGACGCCACCGCTGGTGGTTTCTAAAGAGCATGGGTAAATAGGATGATAGATGTTGCCTAGCCGACAGGCTGGCATCCATCAGCACCTTGCGTTCGCGTCCATAACTTTTGAACGTCGTCGCGTTACAGCGCGACGACGCGCTGAACGCTGCCCGATTGATGGCTGCTAGCAATATGCCCCCACCAAGCCAAACTGCGCCACATAATTCCAATAAACAACCACCTCGTACGTCCGTTTCAATGTTATCATATCGTAGACTTCTAGATTTTTCCCTGAGATAGTGACAAGTGTGTCAGAATGAATCGCAGCTGAGTCTACATTGTGCGACAAGGATAAGACCTAAAGGCACCGAAAAGGTTGTAAGCATAGTCTTCACCTTCAAAGGCACTGTTAGCATTTGATACCACCAACCTCTTGGATTCCATCCGGATTCAAACGCAATATCGACGCGGATGTCGCACCCTTGACCAGGAGGTGGTCCATGTCCAATGCTACCACTTCTCTGGAGCACAGTACACAGAATGACTCAAGGAACCAACACTTTTGAAAGCATTCATACTTGATCTTGAAACCGATAGCCTTGTTTTCATCTTTCAAAGTAGAAGTGATACCGTCCACAATGTACAGCGACTCGCCATCCGCACACACTAAACGATCCCGCATGGTAACACATCTGAAAGAAAAGTTCCATTTCGCGGCATCCTTAGCATGGCAACTGGCAACACAGAGGGAGCGCGTTCATACTC